ACGGGGGCACCTCATCCCCGTCTCTGGACCGTGCAGGATGTGTGTCGCAGCCGCCGGGGTGAGGGTCGGGTGCTCGGCCGCTCGGCAAAGCCCCACAGTGAACCCGTGCAAGGAGATGCTGTGCTGCTCATGCGTGGGCTGCCGGCTGGACCGGGGCTGCCTTTCCACCGCTCCCCTCCTGCCTGGCTTCTCCCGTCTCTGCCCGCGCAGAGAGGCGAGACACCCAGCTCGGACGTGCGCAGTCCATTTTCGTTGGCAGGAAAGAGTATAAATAGGGCAGAACCTGAGGCGCAAAACTGAACCGGCTGCACAGCACCATCGCACCCAAAACTGGGGGGTTTCCCCTCCTGCGTGCAGCGCTCCCCGCCGGCTCGTGTTCGGCGGTTGGTTCGCTCTGTGCCGTTTATCTGTGGTCGGCATCGGCTGCCCGGCATACCCGGCTGTGGTGGCATGGGACGAGGCTCCCGTTGATGCGCTGACGGGGACGGGGCAGAGCTGCCCCTGCCCATCCCACCCGCACCCTCCTGATGTCTATCCCCGTGGGTCGGCGCTGGGGCCGGTGCTCCCGAGCGGAGCCTGGAGCGATGCCGCGGCCACGGCCCCGGCAGAGCAGCACCAGGAGCAAACCCCTCCGCGGCCAACCACAGCCATCCCAACCCAGAAATACCCCTCAGGCATTGCCCCGGCGCCCTTCAACATCGGCTGGTGGCTGGGAGAGGAACCCCGGGTTTGGGACTCTTATTTAGTATCTTTATTTCTGGAGATCTTCCCCTGCTTTGGCTTTTATCTGGCATTTCTGGGGAGATCTGCATATGTCTACAAGTGCACTGTGTGTCCACTATTGAACAAGCAGGGGCCTTGGCACAGATGCTCTCAATGGAGTACTGAACACGTTAATCAAGTTGCTTTACACTGTTGAATTTCCAGGACTGGCGGCAAACCTGTCCTGGGAGCACGGGGCGATCTCCAGCGTGTGCTGGACTTGCGCATCATCGGAACCGAGAGCCCCTCTCTGAGCTCCGCGTCCCGTCAAACTACTTCTCGTGTTCCTCAGCTCGATCGGGGCTGGGGTTTGAATTTCCTGAACCCAGAGCCCACGGTTCTGCAGCCCTTTAATCATTCCTAGGAAAAATAAAAATGCAAAAATGCGCGCCCGGAGCAGAGTAATGAAGCCCATGAGGGTCTATTTGTCAATTTAGAAACAATATTGTGATGTACAAAGGCTGTTTCTTAGTCTGATGTTCTGAGATTGCCTCCAAAATAGTGTCATAATTCATGTGTCGGGAAGCCCCTGTCAAGAATTATATCTGTGCTCTCAAGGAAATCCAGTCTGCGGCTGCATGGTAACAGGCGCTCATTTTTTATTAGAACCACAACAATTTACTTGTGAGTCGTAAAAGGGAATCTGCGTATTTAAGGAGGTTTGGGCGGCTCTGCCGGCACGGGACGTACCCCGGGAGGGTCCCGTTCCCCGTGGAGGGCTCCCCGGGACTCCCCTGGGCGGCCACGGGTGCAGGGTTCTGTTTTTGGGAGGCGTTGCAGTGCTGCGCGGTGGCGGGGGCTG